TTCTCCCTCCTCCTCCTCCTCCTCACTCCTCCTCCTCCCCCTCCTTCGATCTCGTTATCGATCTCACTCTTTGGGACACCTTGGGGCACCACATCGATATCAGTATCGATCTCACTATCGATCTCATGATCGATCTCACTCAACGGGACACCACGGGACACCTGTCGATCTCACTATCGATCTCACTACCGACCTCATTTTTTGGGACACCACGGGACTCCAGGGGCCACCACATCGATCTCACTATCGATCTCACTATCGATCTCGCTATCGATCTCACTCAACGGACACCGCGGGACACTGCGAGCCACCGCGAGCCACCGCCAGACGGACAGACGGACGGGCGGGCGGGGGAAAATCATGCGTTTTGATTTCGCCCTAGCAACGGCGGACGCCACGGGACAACACGGGACACCGCGAGCCACCGCGAGCCACCGCCGGACGGGCGGGAGGGGGAGAATCATTTATCTTGACTTCGCCCTAGCAACGGCGGACGCCACGGGACACCACGGGACACCGCGGGACACCGCGAGCCACCGCCGGACGGGCGGGAGGGAGGGGGAGAATAATTTGTCTTGACTTCGCCCTGGCAACGGCGGTTTCATTCCTCTCGCGCGCCCATGCAGCTTCGCCTCTCTTGCACGCACGACACGAACGAAACGAAACGATTTTTCGGTTGGTGGTCCCCGTTCCATTGCGATCTCTCCTCCAACCTCTGATATATATATATATATATATATATATCTTTATATATATACACACGTAGTGATGTGTGTGTGCATCTCTCTGTAGCGTCCTGGGCTTGCCTTGCGTCTCATAGACTTGCACTGCGGTCACATCCAAGGCGTCGAGATTTGGTGGTCGCGTTCCCTCCTCCTTCTCCTCCAACCCACGAGAAGACATGCGTATCTCTCTCTCTCTGACTATCTGCCTTTCTCTCTCTCTCTCTTTCTCTCTCTCTTTCTGCGTGTGTGTTCGTCCCACCCCCCCGACCCTCGCCCAATGTCTCCCTTCTGTCCCTCCCGCCTCTGCCTTCAACACGACCACCCCATGTGGCCCACGCGAGGTTGAAGGTCTCCTGCAGTGCCCGGACCCGTACATCCGGAAGAAGGCGGCGCTATGCGCCACCCGTGTGATCAGAAAGGTCGAAGAGATCGAAGACAAGTGCGGCAGCCTAGCTTCTCCTCGTCCTCCTGTCCCTCCTCCTTCTCCTGTTCCTCGTCCTCCTCTCTCCTCTTCTCGCCTCCTTATCCTCGTCCTCCCCCTCCCGCTCCTCCCCTCCTCCTTCCTCCTCCTCTCCTCCTCCTCCTCCTACTCCTCCTTCTACTCTTCCTCCTCTCCTTTTCCTCCTCTTTTTCTTCCTCTCTTCTTTTTCCTCCCCTATCCCCCTCCTCCTCTCCTTCTCTCCTCCTCCTCCTCCTCCTCATCATCATTCCCCCCCCCCCCCTATTATCCTCCTCCTCCTACTTTTCCTCCTCCTCACTCCTTTTCTCCTCCTCCCCCTCCTTCTCCTCCTCCTCATCCCCCCTCATTGTCCTCTTCCTCGTTCTCCTTCTTCCTCCTTCCTCCTCTCCTTTTCCTCCTCTTCCTCCTCCTTCTCCTCCTCTCCTCCTTCTCCCCTTGCTCCTCCTCTCCTCATCCTTCTGCCTCATGTTCCTCTCTTCTCATACCCCCCCATCCCCCCCCATTATCCTCCTCCTCCTTCTCCTCCTCCTCCTGCTCCTCCTCCTCCTCCTTCCCCTCCTCATGCCCCTCACTCCTCCTCATCCTCCTTCTCCTCCTGATCCTCGAAGTCAGGTACGGTAGCCCAGCTGCTCGGTCTGCCCCGTGGGTAAGGCTTCGGGCTGCGTTACGCGGTCGCGCGCACCAGCCAGTACAGTCAAGACGCTGAAGTAAGGAACTGTTTGGGTTTGGAAGGGGCTCGATATTTCTTAGGTCCTTCCTTGGCTGTTCCATCAGCTCTCCTCGTGCAGCCAGGCGCTTCTGGGGCCCAAAAAGGTCTTCGTTCCTTATTTTGCGTTCCTTCTGGTAGCACCTCGACTATGTCGCCGGACCGCCGGACCTCAGAGGTTCTCGATTATCCTCACCCGAATGTGTCCTCGTCATGGCCTCGTTTTGTGTAACATGATCGCGGGTCCCCCACGAATGGACCAAGTTTGTGCCGCAAAGTGCACGCATGCTGTACACATTGTTTTTTGACAGGCGTGTTGGGGGGTTCGGCATGGTTCCTGGTCTGCCGCTGGTCATGTGGGTGAGGAGGCATTTAGTAATAAGGGGCAGTGATTAAGCCATCACCGAAGGGGGAGAATGGTGTTGGAAGAGGAAACGCGCTAAACCACCTACGCCCAGAGGGCTTGTGGCCTTAGCGCCCAGTTCGGAACCAGAAACATGCCCTCTTGAGAACCTGTTGAGACTCTCTTGGGGTACTCTTTAGGGTCCTGTTGAGCTCTCTTAGTATGGTTCTGGACCCCCCTCAAGCCATTCAGGGCTCGCATGGGTGACCTCGGGTCCGTATTCATGCCTCAGATGCCTATCGGAAGTCGAATTCAGATCATGTGATATGAAATTGGGAACCATTTGCGTTTTATCACTTGGTTTTGCTTGTCCTGCGGGGGCATGATTGGGAGGTTCGGGTATCACTTGAGAGCCAGTTTGAAGTCTTGCTTGGATTTCTTGAAGTCATGCTGGCGGCAATATTGGGCATTGGGCCATCGTGCGAGAGATTTGGGGCAGTCTGGGTTTCATAGGGCCTTGCTATAACAATCCGTCGCTACCTTGGTCAGTCTTAGCCCTGGCACCAACGTGCGTCTAGACCCACGGAGGGGTGATGGGGGAGGGGTTCAGCCGTCCACGAAGGGAAATGGGAGAGAATTTGGTATGCTAAACTGCCTACGCCCAGATGCGAGCTGGAGCTTACAGGAGCTCGACTGAACTCGAAACTATGCGCCAGGGGAGCGGCACTGAGAGAGCCCCCCAGAAGCGAAGATGTTTACTATTCCCGGGAACAAGCAGTTTTACCTCGGTCATTTTAGCCATCTGGGCCCACGTGTCATGCTGGGTCTTTCCCGCTTCGGCAAACATGGCATCGGCATTGGGCGCAACTGTTGGTTTCAAGACCCTGGGAGACGCTATCCCCGAACATGTTCGTGGCAGCATCTTCGAGTTCGATCCAGCAACCAGGGTGAACGCTCGTCAAATATCCAGATATTGGGCGAACACTCCCGTCAAGCACTTGGAGCTATATTTCGACTTTGCCTTGCCTGCAGATGCAGAGAGATGGAGTGCATGGTGTCCAAATGACGTGCGCCATGTCTGGAAGTTGACATTGCTGGGCCTTTCACCAGACCTGGCAAAGGCGCTGGACAAGCTCGGGCGATCCAAGTGGATGGTGCGTGAAGCAGTCATCGTGCAAACAGACATGCTAGGTGACGAGGACAACTGGGACGCCGAAGACGACTTCCACTTCGGGTGCGCCCTGTCCCGCGCGGTCAGCACGCTGAACTCGCGGAACTTGACCCACTTGGAAGTCCACGTCTGCCAACTCTGCGACCACGAGTGCATGTATCCCGAAGAAGAGGAAACGCGTAGACATAAACGTCTGGCGCTCCGCGCGGATTTCCCGGACCCGCGCCTGGGCCCCCGCGGCGCCGGCCCTGGCGCGCTCCGCTCGCCAGGGAGGGGGTTCCAGCGCGAATCCAAGAAACCCGCGCGGAGCGCCAAGAGCTTGTGCTGACGTGGCTTCTGCTTCTTCCAGCATCTCGCCTGGGCCCTGGAGGGGGCGAGCGACCTGGAGCTCCGGCTCAAGACGTCCCGCGAGGTGCACGGGCTGCTCGAGGGGCACCTCGCCGACGCGCTGGACTGCTCGTGGGAGCCCGGGCGCCGCGAGGCGGAGGGCGCGACGGGCAGCGCGCGAAGCGTCCAGGCGGGCCGCCTCACGCTTCACGGTGCATCCCCAGGCACGCGACGTTTTCCCCGGACATGATCGCGTCGTGGATCAGTCTCGTTTTGCCTTGTGGAAGTCGATGAATGGAGAGGAAGCATGCTGCCAAATCATGTCCAGATGTCTTAAAAACTGTTTCAAGTATGTTTGTAATATGTAAAACATGTTTGAAACTCTGTTTAGAACATGTTTAACACAGTTTAAACACACTTTTAAATCAATGATAGGAGTGTTAGAGTGTCCATTGTCATGGCATCCACAAGTTTATCCGACCCCCATCCCCATCCTCATCCCTTTCGATACCCCCACCAAATGGCCACCCCAGTTGGGGACACCCCTCGAAACCCGAAGGGGACGGCCTATATCCCCATCTAGGGGGGGTAAATCGGCCAGGGGGGCCCAGGCCACGCCGCTGGGGATGGGGATCGGATAAACGATGCTCATAAGAAAAATCAGGACTGCGGGTTCTCGGGCGTTTCCTGCCTCGTGGGGCCCTCGCCGGGCCTCGGGGCCGTCAGAAAACGACGCAGGACAAGGAGAAACCGGTCCCGGGGGAACGCCGTCCTGACAAAAATCGGACGTCGCATGTCTGGGCCCGGAAGTCCCGATCCTTTCCCCGGGGCCGGCTTTTCGTCCCGGGCCGTTTTTTACGCTCCCGCGGCCAGGGGCCGAAAGTAGAGAAAATTTTGCCGTCCTGGTCTTTTAACGATGCGAGCATGTCTGGGGGTGCATCCCGGAGGTGCGATGCCCCGAGCTTCTCACAGTGCGTGCGCGGCCCCCGGGAGTCTCGACCCTCTTCTCCCCGGGGCCGGCGGGTGGTCCCGAGAGTCGCTCCTGGACAGGCACAGGGCTCGGCAGAGGCCCCCGCGACAGGCCGAAGACGGCGACGAGCGGTCTCCGCCCTGATTTTTGTGGAGACGTCGCATGTCTGGGCACGCGAACAGCCAACCCAGACATGCGACAGGGCTGGACCTAGACGGTGTTTTTGGCGATTTCGTGGGCCGTTTCGTCTCGACTTCGTTTTGCGGTAGAGGCGAGTTCGAGACAAAAGTGAGGGAAAACGAACGCAACACGAACACGAAAAACACCGTTTAGGTTCAGCTCTGACGTGCGACGTCCTGAATTTTTCGGCACGGCGTCCCGACCCTTTCCCCGGGACTGGTTTTTCATCCGGAACAGGAGGAGGAGGAGGAGGAGGAGGAGGAGGAGGAACAGGAGGAGGAGGAGGAGGAGGAGGAGGAGGAGGAGGAGGAGGAGGAGGAGAGTCGAGTCGCTGATTGACGGTCCCGGGGCCCAGCGAGGGAGAATGGCGAAAAACTCCTCCCGCCCTGATTTTGCCCCACGGCGCGATGATGTCTGGCCCTGGCATCCGACGTCGTGGAAAAACTTGAAACAGCGTGAACAATCGCGACCAGAGCCCTACACTTAGGCGATGCTTAAGAAAACCTAAGTTTTCGGCGAGAGTCTCGATTATTCTTAATGTTTCAATGTAGATCCTAAGATTTGAATGGACATTCTGGGTTTTTATTCAAATTCTGAGACTATGAATTTCTTAACCCATGATTTCTAAAGCATTTCGCAGGGTGTAGACCCCCTGGACCATCTCTCGAGCCGGATCGATCTCTGAGGGTCGCGTGCCCGAAGCCGGGCGAAAAACGCCCGGCTCGAAAACATCGAGTCGCCCGGATCTCAGGGAGCGTGGCCCTCCAAGGCCCTTACATCCTGGGCCAGCGCATCCTTCCTCTATGCGAGGGCCCCCAGGGGCCGAGAATGGCAAAAAACCTCCCCTGTCCTGATTTGTTTTTCTCCACGACGCGATCGTGTCTGGGTACAGTCGGGGCGCTGAAGAAGGAACCCACTATGTTGGGGAGGGGCTCAGTGTTCCTCAGTTGTTTTGCAGCTGGCCTCAGGTATTCCTTGGACTTTCGATGGGAAGTCGAAGTTTAACTTGTGGGAAAAAGGGGGCCTCGTTTCTTATTTCGTGTTCCTTAGGTCAACGCCTCGACTGTACCCAGATGTCCGCCGATACGACTTGCTCCATCCGCGGCCCCAGAGGTCCCGACCCCTTCCCCGCGCGGGTGTTTTCTCGCCCCCGGGTCCCTCCCTTGCTGGCCCCCGGGCCCAACCGCGGGCCCCGGAGGCCGAAGTTCAGGAGGGAGCCAAAAACACATAGACACAATGAATCGTCGATTCCCAGGAGAGAATGCGAAAGTATGGGGAGTGGGGGGGGGGGAAGACAAAAAACCAGAAAATAGGAGAAAATGTGGGGAATCCTTTGACTTGTGTCTATGTGTTTGTGTGTCCCAGGGCCCCTTCAGAAGTCTGGAGGCCGAAATCCAGGAAGACTCCACATCCTCGGATCTCTGGGGATCTCTCGGTGCAGGCGGACCACCTGCTCTTCCGGATGCCCCAGCGAGCCCGGGGCCAGGTGAGGCCCCTGCAGGGGGCCGAAGCCGGCCCAAGACCTGCGGTCCTGCCCTTTTGGCACGGCGCGAACGCGTCTCCCAGGCCCCCTTTTCGCAGCGTCGACCCCCATGCAGAGCTCAGGACCCCTTCCTGGGGGCCGGGTCGGCATCCTGAGCCGTTCTTTGACGGGCCCAGGGCCCAGTGGGGCCCCCCGGGGGCAAAAGTTAGCGACACGACCTTCCGTCGTGATTCTGTCACACGTCCTGACTTCTTTACAGGGCGGCGTCCCCAGAAGTCCCGACCCTTTCCCCAGGGCCGGCGTTTCATCCTGAGTCGTTCTTTGACTGCCCGGGGGGCCCGGCGAGGGCCCCCCGGCGCCGACAATAGCGAAAAACCTCCCGTCGTGAGTTTTGCATCGCGTGAGGGGGTCTGGGCTCGGTGCATAGGGGAACGAGCAATGGCATGAACATAGAAACTCCGAGGACCGCGCGGATTTCTCAGCTCGGCGCTGGACCCTCCTCCCTGGCGCGCGGAGCGCGCCAGGGGCGGCGCCAGAGGCGCCGCCAGGGGGCCCTAGCGCCGATTCGAGAAACATGCGCGGACCTCCGAGTTTCCATGTTCATGTCTCAGGAGGGAAACACACACACACACATATATTCACACACACACACACACACGCACACGCACACGCACACGCACACGCACACGCACACGCACACGCACACGCACACGCACACGCCCCCCCACACACACACACACACACACACACACACCACACACACACACACACCACAACACACACACACACACACACACACACACACACACCACGCGCACGCGCACGCGCACGCGCACGCGCACGCGCACGCGCACGCGCACGCGCACGCGCACGCGCAAGCGCACGCGCACCGCCACGCGCACGCGCACGCGCACGCGCACGCGCACGCGCACGCGCACGCGCACGCGCACGCGCACGCGCACGCGCACGCGCACGCGCACGCGCCACGCGCACGGCGCAACGCGACACACGCACGCACGTGCACGTGCACGAGCACGCGCACGCGCACGCGCACACGCACACGCACACGCACACGCACACGCACACGCACACGCACACGCACGCGCACACCCACACGCACGCGCACGCGCACGCGCACGCGCACGCGCACGCGCACGCGCACGCGCACACGCACACGCACACGCACAAGCACACGCACACGCACACGCACACGCACACGCGCACGCACGCGCGCACGCACATGCACACGCACAGGCGCACGCGCACGCACACGCACAAGCACACGCACACGCACACGCGCACGCGCACGCGCACGCGCACCGCGCACGCCGCACGCGCACGCGCCCGCGCCCGCGCCCGCGCCCGCGCCCGCGCCACGCACGCGCCCGCGCCCGCGCCCGCGCCACGCACACGCACACGCACACGCACACGCACACGCACACGCACACGCACACGCACACGCACACGCACACGCACACGCACACGCACACGCACACGCACACACACACGCACACGCGCACACACGCACACACGCACACACGCACACACGCACACACGCACATACACACATACATACACATACACATACACACACACACAGACGCAGGGGAAATAACGTTGATTTCCAAGAAAATAGGGGAAACTGCGGGAAGTGTGTGGGGGGGGGGGAAGACGAAAACCCAGGAAATATTGGGAAATGTGGGGAATCCTGTCATATTTGTGTGTATCTCTTCGTGTGCCCCAGGGCCCCTTCCATGTCATTCTTCGTTCCCCTCGTGCAGGCGGACCACCTGTTCTTCCAGGTCTTCCGGCGGGCCGCCCGAAGGCCCGCCGCGGCGGGCCCCGCGGCCGCGGCGAGCCGAGCGCGCGGCGCCGCCGCGGTGCCCAGCGGCGGGGGGGCGGCGCGCCGCCTTGCCGCGGAGCTCCCGGTGCTGCGCCCGCTCTCTCTCTCTCTCTGTCTCTCTGCCTGTCTCTCTGTCTGTCTCTCTCTCTCTCTCTCTCGTTTTTTCGCGCTCTCGCTCTCTCTCTCTCTCTCTCTCTCTCTCCCTGTCTCCGCTCGTTCCCCCCCTACCCTCCTCATCCCTCCCTCCCCGTCCCTCCCTCCGGCTCCGTCCCCCCCCTCCCTCTTCGCCCCCCCTCTCCGACTCTTCCTTCCCTCCTCCCTGCGGTGCCCGCCCAGGCGGAGGGCCCCTCTTCGGCGACGGCGCCGGAGGGGCACGAGGGCTCCGAGGGCGGCGTCGGCCAGGACATCCAGAAGGCGGTGGCGGCCTTCCTCTCGGGCGACGGCCCCGAGTCCGAGGACGAGGGCGAGGGCGAGGAGCCGTGGGCGAAAGTCCTGATCCGTATGCGCGGCCTCGCGGGGTCGCGACCCCGCGGACACGGGGCGTTTTCTCGCGGATGCCCCGCGCGGGACGCCGCATCCATGCGACCGCGTGTCCACGGGATGGCGCGCCCTGGAATCCAAGGCGCGAGGGCGTGGGGAGGAGGAGGAGGAGGAGGAGGAGGAGGAGGAGGAGGAGGAGGAGGAGGAGGAGGAGGAGGAGGAGGGAGGAGGAGGAGGAGGAGGAGGAGGAGGAGGAGAGGAGAGGTGGGGAGGAGGAGGAGGAGGAGGAGGAGGAGGAGGAGGAGGAGGAGGGAGCAGGAGGAGGGGAGGAGGAGGAAGAGGAGAGGGGGGAGGGGCAGGAGGAGGAGGAGGAGGAGAGGAGGAGGAGGAGGAGGGGAGCCGGAGAGAGGAGAGAGGAGGAGGAGGAGGAGCCGGAGAGAGGAGAGAGGAGGAGGAGGAGGCTGGGTCTGGGCCTGAGCAGCTGCCCTCCTCCATAAGGGGACGGCGCGAGGGCGCGAAGATCATCGCGCATCGCGGGTCGCGAGGCGCGATGTCAGGTGGCCCAGTGTGAAGTCGGGCGTGTCCCTCTACAGGGGGAAGCTTCAAGGATAGTCAAAAAAACAGTCTGGGGACGATGTTTTGACCATTTGGGTGCATTTTGGGGGGTATTTTCAATTTTTCGCCCAAAACCCACCCTGTAGGGGGGACACGCCCGACTTACGCCCAGCGACGGGGGCAGGAGGGCGAAGCTTCCGCGGCGCCGGCGCATCGGCGATCACCGACCGAATCCTGACTTCCACGGCGAAGACCATCGAGGAGGAGGAGGAGGAGGAAGAGGAGGAGGAGGAGGAAGAGGAGGAGGAGGAGGAGGAGGAGGAGGGAGGAGCATGCGCACGAAATTCACCTCGAATTCTGGAACGAAATTTTCCAGGACACTCGAGGCCCACCCTATCGTTTTCCGACGAGCATCCTGGACCATCGAGGGGCATCCTGGATCATCGTGGGGAAAATATGCGCACGAATTTGAAGCATGCGTCGGAAATGGAAAATCGTGGGGAGAATATGCGGAGATCATCGTGGGGAAGATCAGCATGGCGAACCAGAAATATGCGGGAAACCGTGGGGAATATATGCGAAGATCATCGGACATGGAAAATCGTGGAAAGCAGCATGGCGAAGATCACACGAAGTTTACCTCGAAATCTGGAAAATTCTTTTATCCAGGGCACTCCGGGCACACCCTATCGTTTTCCGAGCGAAATCCGCTCTGTGGTGTTGGCGCCATGACCTCTGAGGGACAGGCAGCGAGGCGAGGCGGGACAGGAAGGAGAGACAGGACCTGATCATCGTGGGGAAAATATGCGCGCGAATTTGCAGCATGCATCGGAAATAGACGTCCGAGCGATGGCCAGCCTCCACCCATCGGGATCGGCGCCCCAACGGGGGTCCGCCTAAATCCCAACCCCGGAGCTACGACGAAGGTGGCCAGCCTCGGTCTGCGACACGGCCTTGGCTGAACCGTGTAATAGAATGTTCGGGAGGAGAGGAGGAGGAGGAGGAGGAGGAGGAGGAGGAGGAGGAGGAGGAGGAGGAGGAGGAGGACGAGGAGGAGGAGGAGGAGGACGAGGAGGACGAGGAGGAGGGAGGGGGGAGGATGAGGAGAAACAGGAGGAGGAGGAGGAGGAGGAGGAGGACGAGGACGAGGAGGAGGGGGGACCAGTTTTATTCACCGCCGTGAGAAACAGAAGGGGGGGATCAAAACGAATGACCCTTAGGGGATATAGGGTGTCCGGAGAAGGGGGTCTGTCCCAAGGTTGGTCAGGGAACGCGCCCAAAAATCATCCAAGAAGAAAAAAACATAGCAACTGAGGGGGGAGGGGGCTCCAGCAGGGCAGGGGGGGCGGCCTTTTGCGACGGCTGCATGCCAGCCTGAAGCACGTCGAGAAACAAAGTCGGCCACGCGCAGAGGGGGGTAAAAAAGGTGAGGGGAGAAGGCTTCTTAGAAGCAGCCTCCTTCTATGAAGCCTTCTCCCCTCCCCCTTGCCCCCTTGTGTTTGCTTTGCCGCCAGCATGAAGCTGCATAGACATTAGCTTTCGGAGCTCCGCGCGGATTTCTTGCATCGGCGCTTCGGCGCCCCCGGCAGCGCCTCCGGCGCCGCCCGTGGCGCGCTCCGCGCGCCAGGGAGGGGGCCCAGCCAAAATCCAAGAAATCCGCGCGGAGCTCCGAAAGTTTCTGCTTGTGCAGTTTTGCGCTCTTTGCGAAGATCCATGAAATCCGCACGGAGTTCTGAAAGTTTCTGTTTATACGCGTTTGTGCTCTTAGCGAAGATCCATGAAATCCGCGCGGAGTTCCGAAAGTTTCTGTTTATGCGGTTTTTGTTAGTGCTCCTCCAGGCCAGCCCGAAGCACGTCCTCGCCCCTGTGATTGGCCTCGCCTTGCGCGTCGATCCTGGGCCTAGCATCGGTGCACATGCCAGGAGGGTGCGCACGCCGATCCAGAGCCCATGATGAGCCCGGCCAGGATCGGTGTAGGCGTATACCCTGACCTCCGCGCGTTGTGGAAAAAACACGACGGGCGCTTTCTCGTTACGTTCTGCCTCTGGGGCCCTTGCCGGACCTTGGGAGCGTCAAAGAACGATTCAGGATGAAGGGCCCGTCCCAAGGAAGGGGTCCAGACCTTTGGGGCCGACGGTGTGAGAAAAATGCGACGTCTGGGGTCCGGGCGGTTGGTGTCCTTCCACTTATCTCGTTGCCGGTCGTGAGGATCCCCTCTCAGTGTCTGAGGGCGCTTCCCCGAGACTGTGATCGCCTTCGGGCTCGCAGATCCCGGGGACAGGGGCAAGCTCGAGGCCTGCTTCGAGAACCCCCCTCCTCCACCCCCTCCTCCCCCTCCTCCCCCCCTCCTCCTCCTCCTCCTCCTCCTCCTCCTCCTCCTCCTCCTCCTCCTCCTCCTCCTCCTCCTCCTCCTCCCACCCCCGCCTCTCACTTGGAGGGGGCGGGGAGGGGGATGGGGGCGCGCCTTCTGAGAGGGCTGACCCACTGCACTGCTAATGTGCACCCCGCCTTCTTGGCAGCCCGCCCGCCCTGAGTCCGACCTCCTCTGCTGCATGTGTTCGCAGCCTGAGGCCGGCGAGGACGAGGAGATGGAGTCCCAGACGCCGCCGCCGACCATGCTGTGAGGATCGGACGGGCCCAGGCCCGAGGGAATGCCAGGAAGGGAGGGGGGCCACTGGGAGGGGGCTCGATCAATCGAAACTGGCAGCGACGCAGCCCAGACGTGCGACCCTTGAGATCCGACGCTGCGAGAAAAAACACACAAATCGCGAAGAATTGCGACTTACCACCGAAGCCCAAGACCCTCGGACGGAGATAGGACGAGAATTTATCCGCTCCAGGGCGTTCCGGCACGCTCTCAGAGCGTTCCGGAACGCTCAGGGAAGGCCGCAACGCCCGAGACAGCCTCCAGAGCCGCTGGATCTCACATTGGAAGGGACCTCTCAAGCTTTCGTCAGGCCTGCGCAGTGTCCATAAGAGCAAGGACGCGGCTGAGCACAGGAGGGCGTGCAGGCAGCTGCGGAGCTCGGACATGCAGAAGCAAGGGGCGGACGACGCTGCAAAGCCCTGCGAGGGCGGAGCATAGCGCGAGCACCGAATCTGCAAGTGGCCGGGGAGCCCCCGTCCGAGTCTATCCTCGGCCTGACTCCGCCCCAGACCCCGCCTTCCTGCGCGCCGCTTCGAGCCAGATCGACCTGTGAGGGCCCTGGGCCTCGAGGCGGAGGAGGAGGAGGACGAGGACGAGGACGAGGACGAGGAGGGAGGACGAGGCGGACGAGGAGGACGAGGCGGACGAGGAGGGAGGAGGGAGGAGGGAGGAGGGAGGAGGGAGGAGGGGAGGGAGGGAGGAGGGGGAGGAGGGAGGAGGGAGGAGGGAGGAGGGAGGAGGAGGAGGAGGAGGAGGGAGGAGGGAGGAGGAGGAGGGAAAGGAGGGAGGAGGGAGGAGGGAGGAGGGAGGAGGGAGGGGAGGAGGGAGGGGGGAGGAGGGAGGAGGGAGGAGGAAGGAGGAGGAGGAGGAGAGGGAGGGAGGGGAGGGGAGGGGAGGGAGGGGAGGGGAGCGGAGGGGAGGGGAGGGGAGGGAGGGAGGGGGAGGGAGGGGAGGGGAGGGAGGGAGGGAGGGAGGAGGAGGAGGGAGGAGGAGGAGGAGGAGGGAGGAGGAGGAGAAACATGGAGGAGGAGGAGGAGGAGGAGGAGGAGGAGGAGAGGAGGAGGAGGAGGAGAGGAGGAGGAGGAGGAGGAGGGGAGGAGAGGAGGAGGGAGGGGAGGAGGAGGAGGAGGAAGGAGGAGGAGGAGGAGGAGAAGAAACCGCAGAAGGAGCTGGAGGCGGAGGAGGAGGAGGAGGAGGAGGGGAGAAGGAGGAGGAGGAGGAGGGAGGAGGGAGAGAAACGAGGACGAGGACGGAGGACAAGGACGAGAACGAGGAGGGGAGGACGAGAGGGATGAT